AAATAGCTGGGTCATAGGGAATTTCTATGTTCAGCATTTTGAGGAAACGTCAAACTGCCTTCCAAAGGGATTGTACCATTTTACAAGTCCACCAGTAATGTATAAGAATTCCTTTCTTGCCACATCCTCACCAACATTTATTACTTGCTGTCCTGTTAAACTCTGCCACTGCTACTAGAGTGAGATAGTATCTCATTGTGGTTTTGGTTTGCATCTCTCTTATTACCAGTGATTTGGAGCATTTCTTCAAGTGTCTGTTGGCCATTTGAATATCTTCCTCTGTAAAAATTGTTTCCATGTATTTTGCTCATTTTGTAATTAGGTTAGCAATCTTTTTCTAGTGAAAGGGCCTTATTTTTTGCCAAAGCCTTCATGTAGATTGAATTTTTTTTTATTATCATTGGTTCTTGATCTTGCTACCTCTTAAAATTATTTCATGTCAGTCAATTCTTTTTTTGTACAGTGACTATGTATTTTTTCATCATCTTTTGATGTTTCCGTAATCTTTCAAGATTTGCACATAGCATTCTGTAGTATTGAAATCAAGGCTTGAATTTGTTATTATTTTTTTTCAGCTTGAGATATGCCAACTGAGTTCTTCCTTTTGATTTTCTGACTCTAGCTCTTTGTACATTTCATTCACTCTGCTTTGTTTTCTCAAGCTGCCCTTGGAAATTTTCTGCTCAACTCTTTTACTTTGTGTTTAGTTCATCTTTCAGTAAGACTTTTCCATCTATTCTTGATTTTGCTATGCAGATGGGTGGGGATATATGAATGGGACTTGGTAGCTTACCAACAAAGGATTGGTTATCTACCATTCCAGGGGGTTGGCCAGTCTCACCAATCTACAAGAGTATTGGATTATCTCAAAAAACAAAGTGAATAGCTCTAGCCAGAAGATCAGGATCTTCCCCCACCAGAAGAATGAGACCCTTCCCTAGCTGGTTAAATGTAGGACACACTTTGAGACAGTAGCAGACATGGCAGAACAAGAGACGTGATGTGAGATGAGTCCTTGGCAGGACTGTGAATTTTGTTGGACAGTTGGGGAGGGGGAAGCCAATATTGGAAGAACTGAGAATTTGGGAACACTTAAAACCTTGAAGCTTGACGTTTTGGTGCTTGTGTGCACATTTTGGGAGTTGTCTTGACTGTATTCTGTTATTAATTTGGATTATAATCTTTTGAATTCCCCAGTGCAGTTCTGTGTGGTCTGTGAGCTGTCACGTTGGATTTTGGTCACAGAAAAGCAGTGGGATTGGTTTTGAGATGAGTAGAAAGAGGCATGGGAGCATCAGGGACATGTCTGACCTCATGGGAATAGGTTTAGTATTATTGATGCTGTGGATAGGTATGATTTCTCTTTGTGAAGCTGATGAAGTTCAGACATGGCCATTCTCACATGGCCCTTGCTCCTTTTACACTTTGTCATTTATTCCTTAAAAAAAAAATCTTGGCATTCTAGTACAATTTCCAGTCTTTTGTGACATCCATTTTGGATTTTTCTTTTTCTTCTGTCTTTGTAGTGACCTTTTACTTTCTTCGTAGATGATATCCTTTGTCATCCCACAGCTCATGTGGTCTTAAATCATTAGTCTACAATACCTTAAACTTCTTGAGATGGTTTTTAAATTCAGGTGATACAGGCTCCAGGTCATATTTTGGTTCTTATAAATTGGTTTTCATTTTCTTCAGTTTTTCAATTTGAATGTGCATATAAGTAATTGACAGTCTGTTCCATGGTCAGTCTCTGGCCTGGTTTTGACTATAAATAATTGAATTCTTTCTAAAGATGTAGTCAATCTGATTCCTGGTCAGTCCATCAGGTGAAGTCTATGTGTCTAGACACCATTTGTGTTTTTATAAAAGGTATTTTCAGGAAGCTCTGGTGGCCTAGTGGCAAGAAGCTGCACTGTAATCCTCAAGATGTGTGAGTTGAATCCACCAGATGCTTTGCTGAAGGAGGGGCAATCTCCTCCTGTGCCAGTCAGATCTGATTTGACGGTACACAACAAGGGTTGGGGGAAGGAAAGGTATTTGCAAAGAATAGATCATTGGTTGTACAAAATTAAAACATTCAGTCTCCAGCCTCATTTCTTTCAGGACAACCAAGAGGACAAGATCCATATTTATTCCCATTCCCAAGAAAGATGACCCAACAAAATACAGAGATTATTTAAAAATATCATTGATATAACCTGCAAACAAAATATTGCTGAAGGTTATGCAAAAACAGCTAGAACAGTTTATCAATAGGCAACAGCTAGGAATTCAAGCTAGATTTAGAACAGGGCAAGGCACCAGCGATACTATTATTGCTGATTGCAGGTGGATCCTGGCTGAAAACAGAAAGTACTGTAAGACTGTCTATATGTATTTTATTGACTATGCAAAGGCATTTGACTAGGCAGTTCACAACAAATTATAGCAAGGATTGAGAAGAATGGGAATTCCAGAATAATTAATTGTGTTCATCAGACCAAATAGCTATTTTCTTAACAGAGTGAGAGAACACTGTATGATTCAAAATCAAGAAAGGTGTACATCAGGGAAGTATCTTATCTCCATACTTACTAAATCTGTATGATGAATAGATCACTTGAGAACCTGGACTTTATGAAAAAGAATGTGACATTCTGATTGCAGGAAGACTTATCAGCAATCTGTATTATGCATATTATACAACCTTGCTTGCTGGAAGTGAGAAGGACTTGAAATTTTTGCTATAGAATATAAAAAACTATAGCTTTCAATATGACTTTTGCATCTCAACATCAAGAACACAAAAAGCCTCACCACTGGACCAATAAGCAACATCATGATTGATGGAAAAAAGAATAAAGCTGTCTACTATTTTAGTAGTAAAAAAATGAAAAGATGCATTGTATTGGGAAAATCTGCTTTCAGGGACATCTCCAGAGCAATGATGTCAGTTTAAAAGTTAAGCTTTGCTTGATTCAAACCATAGTCATTTCAATTACTTGCTATGCTTCTAAATGTGGTACAGTGACTAAGGAAAACAGAAGAAGAATTGATGCCTTTGAGTTGTGGTGTTTGAGAATAGTATTGAACGTCCCATGATTGACAATAAAACAAGTAAGTCTGTCCTGAAGAAAGTGAAAGCAGGGCGCTCTTTGGATGCAAGTCGGGTGAATCTCCTCTCACATACTTTGGACATGTTGTAAGAAGGGGTCGGTCAGTCCTCAGAGGACATCATGCTTGGAAAGGTGGAGGGTCAAAGTAAGAGAAGAAGATCCTTAAAGAGATGGATTGTCATAGTGACAATGAGTTCAAGTGTGGCAGAGAGAATGAGGATGGCACAGGATAGGGTAAGTTTCAGAGCCATTGTTCATAAGGATACTGTGAGTCATAGGCAACTAGATGGCATACAACAACAACCAGACCTGGGAAGCTCTCAAGACTTACGCCTGAAATTGTTGTTGTTGTTGTGTACCATTCATTGAATTTGAATTGACTTATGGGTGTCCCTCCTTTGGGTTTGCAGAGGCAGTACAATCATTTGGGAAGAGACTGCTCATCTTTCTCTCATAGAGCAGCTGGTGGACTCAAACTGCATGCCTTTGGGTTGGCAGCTCATCTCCTTACCACTAAGCCACTAGATAGATCTCCGAGAGAAATAGAAGGGAAGGTCCAGTGTGAAAAACAATGTATATGAACTTTGTATGTAAACCAGTATTTTTTTCAAAAAAGAAAGGAAATAGGGAAGTGCAGAAGGGAGGGAAGGACAATTTCTTCCATTTCAAAGCTGGTCCAATCTTGACTTTTGTTCTCTTTCTAATCATTTTTCCTTTTCTTGTCACTGCCCAACTCTCATCATGCCTATCCTCCCTGCTAGCTTCTCTCAACAATAATAGCAACATTGTTAGTAATCTCTGTGTCAGCAGGTTACATACATTACCTCATTCATCCATACGGTACTATTTATACATACGTATTGTTTTCCCCTGTGCAGACAAGGAAACTAAGTCCGGTAGGAGGTGGAGATTTGATCCTCCTCTTTGCACCTGGAAAATTCTCTCTTAATGGCAAATGTAGACAGGCAGCTGGTACAATCTTTATGCATAGACACACACCACACATGTCCTGACTTTCTTGGACCTGCCATGACTGACTGTGTCTCTGGCAGATGGCACAATGTCAAATCAAATGCATAGTAGTTGCTCAGTATTATTTTAAATAAGTGAATAAATGTAAATATTTCTTACTCATCTCAAAGAACCAAATGGAAAAGGTAAAGAAATGTGACTAATGGCTAAGTTTCCAACCTTCCTGATAGAACTAATGCAGAAATTATATCCACCTAAGAGGTCCAAGGGAGGATAGAAGGAGAAATGATACCTTTGAGCTGTGGTGCTGGAGAAGAGTATTAATGTACCCTGGACTGCCAAGAAAACAAACAGATTCATCCTGGAGAGAGTTAAACCAGGCTACTCCTTGGAGGCAAGGATTCTGGGGCTTCGTCTGGCATACTTTGGACATGTTGTAAGGACAGACAGGTCCTTGGAGAGGGACATCATACTTGGTAGGGTGGAGGGACAGCGCAGGAGGGGAAGACCCTCTATGAGGTGGATTGATTCAGTGACTGGGGTAATCGGGATGGGTGTGTCAGAGGTAATGTGATTGGCACAGGATAGAGCAGGGTTCAGGGCTGTTGTACATAGGGTCGCTATGAGTCACAAACAACTCGATGGCACATAACAACATAACAACAAGAGAAGAGAATTGTTCTGAGCAAGTATTCCAAGATGCTTTGAAATCTGAATGTAACTATGGGACTGTAGCCCATAATATTCCATAATTCTGTTGTATCCATAGCATTTCATGATTCTATGTATTAAAACCATAATGCTTTGAAATCTGAGTGTAAGTATGGGACGGACACAGCTGGAAGAAAGCCCTTTCTGAGGTCATCATCCCACCTTTGCCAGATCTTCACATATGTAAATGTTAAAGCTTTTAAACATGTTTGGGGAGACATCATGCTTCACTTCACAAGTCCTCTTTTAAGAAATGTTGTATTCAGAAGCCAGTTTGATAGCATAATGAGGAAACGATGCCTCCAATATTTGAAAACTCTTAGAACTCTACAATACGATGGGTTTAAGACTATATTTTTTGGGGAAACTAGTATCTCTGAAAGTCTTATAACTGGAGTTGATTCTGGTGATGGATATTTAATGCAAAATCCAACTTGGTGTATTGTGCATGCTGGTAGTAGTCAAGGATGGGTACCCTGGAAATACCGACTGTTTCTACGAGATGAGTTATGCATCAAGCAGGAAGATGACCTCTTCTTTGACTTCTGTGATGCGATGAAAAAGGCCTATGGGAAATGTGCCATCGTGGTCAAAGAGCAAAGACAGCAAAATGAAGCGAGGCAAAAGGAAGAGAAAGAAGCTGAGGACCAGCCCTGTGCCCCGTCGATCATTAACTTGACAAGCATAGCTTGTTGCCCTGAGGTGGCCAAATCCTATGGCCATGAGCTACTTTCTCTGCCTTTCCCTTATAATTACCTGAACCCACTAGACTCAGCCTGGTCTACTCTGAAATGGTTTATCATCAATAACAGAAAAGAGTTTTGTTTTCAGACCATGGATAACATCTATTCTTACCAGTATATACTTTTCAGCAACTTGATAAGCAAAGGAATTGAAAGAATAAGCCCAGGCAAGTGGAAAACAATAACTAACAAAGTTAGAAGATGGGAAAATTACTACCTTGGCAAATTTTCTTAAAACTGTTTCCCCCAATCAGTAATGAGACTCTGATGTGGCTTTAGTCTTTGCCAACTCCATTGAGCTAAAGTTCTGATCACTTCAGCAAAGAAACTTCAATTGGTGATCTCCCAATGCTTTCAATTTACTGGAGAAATTATTAAAGCTTGTCAGTAAGTCAGAGTTCTGGTTTCCCATTTTATTAAGGCCACTTTGAAGGCAATATCAATGGAAATATTGAGGTTAATTTAGCTCAAATAAGGAGGGTCATGAGAATGAGTTAAAGAACATATTTCAGGTAGGATTATATCCTCTAAAATACATATTGAAATCCTAGCACCTATATCTGTACTTCTGCCTACTACAAGTGTTAGAGTCTTTCCTTCAGAACTACTTTTGTGAAGCAATTCTTCAGGGTATTTGTTGTTGTTGTGTGCCATCAAGTCAGAACTGACACACAGCTGACCTTTCAGAAGGTTTTCAAAGGCAGTGTATCTTATGAGACTGTCCATCCTTCTCCCACAGAGTAGCTAGTGGATTCAAGGTATTTATCTACCTGTCTAAAGTATGGTTTTTTGATATAATTTCCTTGAGAGTAAGTGGTAAGACTCAAACCTCCTCAGTCACTCAAATTTTCTTGCATCATCACAGGTCCCTATGTCTGTGGCCTGAATTTTGGAATATAAGTGCTTTTTACCTCTCTGTCACATACCCAGAAAATTCACCTATCCAGAGTCCTGTGGTGTTAAGAACTAAGAACTATAACATGAGCCAGGTACATTTGTCAACACTTTACATGCTTAACTCATTTAATCTTCACAACAACCTAGAATGTGGAAACAATATCTCGATTTGAAAGCTCTGGAAGCCAAAGCACATTATCATTTCTGTGACAAGGAGCTAAGATGCTGACCAGGAAGTCAGGCTGCTTCTCTATAATCAGTGGCTCATCTAATCCTCGTAACAACCCCTTCAAGGAGATGCTAGTATTTGTCCTGATGAGGAAACTGAGACATAGAGCACTTAGTCAAGCCATAATCTAAGGCCTTTGCTCCTAATCGCCTTGCTTGGTTTGGTCATTGACACTCACCTTGTCTTTGCTTCATTGTCATAATCCACATGATGTAAGGCAAAATCTCACATCCAGCCAGACTTCTTCAGGCAAATGGATGGCACAACAAAAGTATCTTTCCATCCAATGACATTGAATCAGAGGCAAATTTAAAGACATTATTTTGAAGTGAAAAAACTTTTTTTTAGGTCATTTATGAAGATAAACCAACAGGAGCTACTTTTGTTAAGAAAAACTGTCTAATAAAAGAGGTATACGGGTCCAGCCTTTTAGGCCTGGCTTAATTATTAGAAAAACAAGTAGGGGAAAGAGGGCCAAAGATTCACCTTAAGTTTGCAGTTTCGTTACATAAGATTGTATTCATGAGGAAGAAAAGCTGCTTATATTAGGCATGGGAGTTTCCAGAAGAAAATGACAGAGAGTGCCCCCAGCTTGGGAATGGGACAGACATAGCTGGAACCTTCATTTTCCAACTTATTAGCTTTGAGACTTTGGGCCAGGTACTTTACTTCCCTGAGGCTCAATTAGCTCCTTAGTAATAGCGCTGAGGCCTTTACAAACCTTCTGTGGCCTCTATGTCGTGTCTGGCACCTAGTGAGAGTCCAATAAACTGTAGCTCACAGGCCAGGCTGAGGTCGCAGCAAATGTGTTCACAATTAAGCCTAATATCGCCGACCTCGTTTCCTTTTTACCCTTTGAGGAAAATGTTTGTTTTTTATCACCAGGGAATAATGAGAATAGACACATCTTAAGATAGTTTGATCAAAGGAAACTTTGTTCTCCAGCATTTCTTTTATGGCCATCTGCAAAAGGTTAGGGAAGATTTAATGATAAGAAGTTTCTTCTGAAAGGGTTGGGACAGGGTGGATGGTGGGTACAGCCTGCAGTCTCTTTGGGAGCAGCCGTGTTTTATTCACTGTATGACATAAATCAAGGTGGCAATACACAGCAGCACAGGGTTGAGCATCTGTGGACAAGTCCTCAGGATGTCCACAAGAAAGCTCAGGATGTCAGTGGCGCTGTTCTCCAGCTGATCAATGATGCCTCCTCATCATCCCCAGCCTTCACCAGCATTACCAACAGATCCTCAACCTGCTAACAGACCTGGGCGATACCTCAGGGGGCTGTATTAGCAAACAGTGTTCTCCTTGGAATGCTTTAAAGAGAAATAAGCAAACGGAACCCAATGCCTTTTGGTTCTGATCTCACCTGAATGAGGCAGGGCCTGGCCTATTTGGTTTGAGGGGAAGTGAGCCCAGCGGAGAGTGGGGAGAGGATGTGGAGACAAAATCTCACTGGCTTACTGAAGGCTGACTTGCTCACCTAGGTGCCAAATATTCCTTCTGTTTATGATTTTTATTTTACTATATACAACCCATCCAAGGAGCACTCAGACTGCACCCTTTCCAAAACATATGTTTGTTCTTTTGGTAGTCCGTGGGATATTTAGTACTCTAATACCATAGATTTAAAACATCACTTCTTCTTGTGCCATTCTTATTCACAGTCTACCTCTCAGATGCACAGCAAGTGACTGAAAAGACCATAGCCTGAATCAGACACCTTAGTTCTCAAATGGACATTATTGCTCCTCAGTAATTTGCTGAGGTCCCTGACAGTAGACTTTTCCAATGCATCATCCAACTGCTCATCTCCTAACTGCTAGTATCAAGGGAGTTGATTGTAGACCCAAGTCAGATGAAATGGTTGAGAACTTCATGATGTTGCCTATTGGTCCAGTGGTTAAAATTTTTATCTTCTAGATGTTGAGATGCAATCCATATTGAATGCTGTAGTCTTTGATCTTCTATGCAAGGGTTTCAAGTCCTCCTCACTCTCAGCAAGGGAGGTTGTGTCATCTGCATAACACAGGTTGTAATGAGTCCTCCTCTGAAACTGATGTCACATTCTTCTTTATAAAGTATATCTTGGAGAGGGTGCAGCCAAAGCACTCCTTGGAGGCAAGGATGACAAAGCTTTGTCTCATATACTTTGGGCATGTTGCTAGGTGGGGCTATTTCTTAGAGAAGGACACTATGCTTGGAAAGGTGGAGGGTCAGTGAAAGAAAGGAAGACCCTCAATGTGGTGGGTTGACACAAGGACTGCAGCATTGTGCACAAGTGTGTCAGAGATGATGAGGATGGCACAAGATAGGACAGGGTGCAGATTTGTTGTTTATAGGGTAGTTATGAATCATACTTGACTTGATGGCATTTAACAAACAACAACATAAACAACCCATTTTTACATTCTTAGCCTCATCAGTTCAGAAAGTTGTCTTTAAGATTTTTAAGCTCACTTTATAAACAAAGACAAAGCTGGGGCATTAACTAACTCACAAAAGGATTGGCAGCAGTGTCAGGACAGAATCCAAATTTACCTTGAAGACTTCTCATCCATTTCTTTCTGGCTGTACATGCCATTTAGGATTAAATTGAGCTGTAAGTTGGGTCCCATTTCAGTGATGTAAACAAAATAGAACGTTGATTCTCCATTCTCTAAAAAGATGTCGCAGAGTGGGCCATCCATGATGAGATGATAGATCTTTGTCTTTTTAGTAGGGAGCTCTGATGGCCTAGTGCTAAGAAGCTGCACTGCAAACCCAAAGGCACATTATTCGAATCCACCAGTGGCTCTGAAGGAAAAGGATAGACAAACTCCTCCTGTGTGATTTAGTGCCTCTGAAAACCCACTGAAGACTCACTATGGGTCAGTTCTGAATTGATGGCAAATAACAACATCCCAGACTAGAGCTCTGGCACTGTTACTCAAAAGGTTCAAATCCACCATCTACTTTTTGGCAGAAAAATGGACAATCTGCTCACATAAAGGTGTATGGTGTCAGTATCACTGAGACAGAGTTGACTCAATAGTGGTGGGCTTAGTTTTGTGTGTCCTAGACTTTGGCCCATCGCCATGATCAGCTCCTAGTCCCAATCAGTTGCAGACCAACTTGTCACATTAGAGTGCTTCAAACTCATTAAAAGCTCAAACTTACAGCCGTCAAGTCAGAATGAACTCATTGCTGACCCTTCAATGGGCTTTTGGAGGCTGTAAGTTGCACAGAGGGAGATAGTCCACCTTTCTCCCTTGGAGCTGCTGGCAGATCTAAACCACCAGAGAGGCGTGGCCTTTGGGTTAGCAACATGACTCCCTAAGGACTGTGTCACCAGAGCAATGGGTTTGAACATCCCATCTTTGGGTTTAGATGTGTTCTTTCTTGTTAGGTGATGTCAAGTTGACAACAACTCATAGTGACCCAATGAACAGCAGATCTAAACCTTGCCCTATGCTATGCCATCCTCACTATCTCTGAGCCCACTGTTATAGTCACTGTGTCATTCATCTAATAGTTGAAAGTCTTACTTTCTTTCTCTGACCCTCCATTTTTCCCAGCATGATGTATTTTTCCAAGGACTAGCCCCTCCTGACAAAATGCCCAAATTATATAAGACAAAATTTCACTACCCATGCCTCTAAGGAATGCTCTGGTTGTATTTCCTCCAAGACAGACTTGCTTGTTGTTTTGGCAGTCCGTGGGATATTCAGTACTCTTTCTTATACCATAATTCAAAGGCATCGATTCTTCTGTCATCTTTATTCATATGCTTAGAAAACAATCGAACATACCATGGCCTGGATCAGGCATACTCTAATCTTTAAATGTACATCTTTTCTCTTTTAGGACTTTGGACAAGTTCTTGACAGCCGATTCTCCCAATGCAACACATTTTTTTTAAGTTTCTTGACTGCTGCTATCATGGTTATTGATTGTAGATTCAAGTAAAATTAAATAATTAACAATGTCGATCTTTTCCCCATCTATTTTAATAGCAAGGAATTAGCATGGAAAATGAAAAAGAAGAGCTCATGCCCTCATTTAGAAGGAGTCTTCTGGGAAATGCTTCACTTAAATCTGATTGGCCAGATTTTCAAAGAAAGCTAGGA